AACTGGACATTTGACAATCCTCTTGGAGTAAACACATCTTTCTGAAAATCAGAATACACTTTACTTACCTAAAAGGAAGCTGAAGATTTAAAATGCAATCAAACTTACAATCTTAAAAAGTTAAAAAATGCAATTAAGGGAACTTACTGACAGTAAAACAGAGCACTCAGACCCAACTAAGGAATGCATGGCTGGACTGAATGGGAAGCACTCAGTCATCCCTCAGCATGAGAACTTCTGCAGTTTCAGGGCAAAGCAGCAACCTTGCACAGATAAAAGGTCCCAGGTTCAATTCTGGTCAAGGGCATGTACCTTGGTTGCAGGTACATCCCCAGTAGGGGGTGTGCAGGAGGCAGCTGATCGATGTTTCTCTCTCATCGATGTTTCTAACTCTCTATCCCTCTCCCTTCCTCTCTATAAAAAATCAATAAAATATATTTTTTAAAAAGTGGGAAATGGTAAAATATAAATTTCTACCTTACTGCAGGCATTCAACAAACATAAAAGGAACATCTGCTATATGTGAAAATACTGTGCTTAGATTCCCATGGGAATTACAAAAAGAAGATAAGCCACTATTTCCTCTCAAAGAGAGTAGCCAAGTTAGAGCCAAAGACAGATGTGTGACACCAAATGAGAAGCTTTAATAGTCCAGGAAAGAAAGCGATGGCTTCCAACTAGGATGAGAAGGAAGTTAAACAGAGGCAAGCATTTGAGCTCTGAAGAATAGTAGGATTCAGAGAATGAAGTGGGAGAAGGTAAACGGATAAAAGATTTTAAAATTACTGTCCCTTGTACGGATATTCCTTGCCACTTACAGAATTACCTTTAGGACAAAAGGTAAAAACTATTTTTTACTCCATGAGTGATTTACCACACGCACATACTACTTAATATTTTATCTACATTAACAGAAGCTCATAATCTGAGACTCCTTAGATCACAACAGTCAATGTTTTGACAAAAAAAATCTAGAAATAGAATAATTTGGCATAACTATTGTTGCTATCAGAAAACTGTGAGCTATTTTGACAAGCAAATTCAGAGAGCTATTTCTATAAAGCATTCCAAATTTAATAACAGATATCAGCTGTAGTGAGGGTTTTTTTGTTGTTCTTAATCCTCACCCGAGGACATTTTTCCATTGATTTTTAGAGAGAATGGAAAGGAGAGGGAGAGACAGAGAGAAACATCAATGTGAGAGAGACACATCAATTGCTTGCCAACCACATGCATCCTGATCGAGCCTGCAACCGAGATACGTGCCCTTGACCGGAATCGAACCCGGGATCCTTCAGTCCACAGACTGACGCTCTCTCCACTGAGCCAAACCAGCTAGGGCTGCAACAGGTTTTTTCAATGATTAATTTCATCAATATGTTATACCAGGGTCGGCAAACTCATTAGTCAACAGAGCCAAATATCAACAGTACAACGATTGAAATTTCCTTTGAGAGCTAAATTTTTTAAACTTAAACTACATAGGTAGGTACACTGTTATTAACTTAATTAGGGTACTCCTAAGGCTTAGGAAGAGCCACACTCAAGGGGCCAACGAGCCACATGTGGCTCGCGAGCCGCAGTTTGCCGACCACAGTGTTATACAATTAAATTTTCCCTTAATGAAATAAAAAAATAATTTCCATAAACTATGCAGCAGTATACTTTATCATTCTTTACAATGGCTGATATTAAATGAAACCACTTTATGACTATTACAGAGTAGTAGCAGAAATGGACCAATTCTCAGAGCCATTCTCTATATTCATATGTAGCAGCCAAAGAATTACTAAGCATAAATAAATGGTCAAGGAAAACATAGCAGCCAAAGAATTACTAAGCACAAATGGCCAAGGAAAATGTAGCAGCCAGAGAATTGCTAAGCATAAATGGTCAAGGAAAATGTACTACTTTCAATCACCAATGGAGATATTCTAGGTTCTGCAAATTCTATATGGAGAACCATACATTCGAGGTTCAGGAAAATGTTTCATTTGGTAGAAAAAGTGTAATGTAACTGTAATATCCAAATTTACATTTTATGGAAGCTTGAATATTTAGATTTTAATATGCAAAGTATAGAATAATTCTGATTCTAAAAATTTTTTAAAGTATATTTTTATTGATTTCAGAGAGGAAGGCAGAGGGGGAGAGAGAGAAATATCAATGATGAGAGAATTACTGATCAGCTGCCTCCTGCATGCCCCCCACTAGGGACTGAGCCTACAACCAGGGCATGCGCCCTTGACCAGAACTGAACCTGGGATCCTTCAGTCCGCAGGCTGATGCTCTATCCACTGATACTCTCTCTCATCATTGATACTTCTGTCTCTCTCTCCCTCTCTCTTCCTCTCTGAAATCAATAATTTTTGTAAAAAGTAAGAAAAATGCAAAAGGGCCAAATAATTACACTGTAACACTGTATTAACTCAAAACTGACTGCATCCGGCAGCAGAAATGTTCAGAGCACAATTATCTCTTCCTCTATGCTCCCACAATACTAAGTATCTGCCTGCATACTAGCAATTACTATACACAAGCCCCCCCTTATTTGCTGGGGATATATTCCAAGACCCCAGTGGATACCTGAAACTTCAGATAGTATCAAACACAATATATACTATGTTTTTTCCTATGTGTACATACCTATGATAAACTTTAATTTATAAGTTAGGCACAATAAGAGATTAACAACAATCATTAATATAATAAAGCCTCATATAATAAAAGCCAAACAGTACCCTCGAGCAGTCATTCGACCAGTAGTTCGACTGCTCGCTATGATGTGCGCTGACTACCAGTGGGTGACAGTGGAGACGCTGCCGGCCCTAATGGGCCCCAAAGAGAGCTGGACTGCAGCAGGATGGTGGAGCAGGTGAGCAGGCAGCACCAGGCCAAGGTGGGTGCAAGCGGGAACCGATCGCCCCGCCGATCACCCTGCAGATGGCGACCAGCGGTGGCAGCAGGGGGTGGGGCCATTGCCTGGCTCTCAGGCGCAGAGGGAGCAGGGTGGGGGCCCAACCCCAATCAATCGACTTGCAGGCAGGATGGTGGAGCAGGTGAGGGGGCAGCGCCAGTCCACAGCAGGGTGCTAGGTGGGGCTGCGGGGCTGCAAGGCTGGGGGTGCAAGGCTGGGGGCGCAAGCTGGGACCAATCCCTGCAGGCCACCCCAAGGGACCCCACCTGTACACGAATTTGTGCACCAGGCCTCTAGTCCTATATAATAAAAGTCTAATATGCTAAGTGTCTGGTCGTCCGTTCAACCAATCGAAGCATAATATGCTAATGATATGCTAAGGAAGCTCAACCGCTCACTATGATGTGCACTGACCACCAGGGGGCAGACAGTCGACCGGTCGACCAGTCGCTATGACATGCACTGACCGCCAGGGGGCAGATGCTCCAACCAGTAGGTGAGCTTGCTGATGGGGTCCGGCTGATCAGGATTGAGCGAGATGGGATGGACACACCCTGGAGCCCTCCCGCAGTCCCTTCCCAGCTGACCAACCTCCCGTGTACCTCTCTGGCCCTGATCGTACACCAGTGGGGGCCCTTGGCCTGGCCTGTGCCCTCTCACAATCCGGGCTAAGGGATCCCTCCCCTCTGCCCCCAAGTGTGTGAATTTTGTGTACTGGGCCTCTAGTAACTAATAATAAAATAGATTATGACAATTTCTGTAATAAAAGTTATGTGTGTGGTCCATCTCTCAAAATATCTTATTGTACTATACTCACCTTTTCACTTAAAGGATGCACTTTACAGCTTCTCTGTCAAATCCGAATTGCCAGCATCATTACTTCTTGCACTTTGGGGTTATTATTAAGTAAAATAAGGGTTACTTGAACACAAGCACTGCAGTAACACGACAGCTGATCTGATAATGGAGGTGGCTACTAAGTGACTAACGGGCATGGAGCATTTATAGCATGGATATGCTGGTCAAAGAGATAATTCACGTACCAGGCAGGATGGAATGGGATGGCTTGAGATTTCATCATTCTACTCAGAATGATGCACAATTTCAAACTGATGAATTATTTATTTCTGCAATTTTCCATTTAATATTTTTGAACTCTGATTAACTGCAGGAAAGCAAATCCACAGATAAGGAGAGACTACTGTACTGAAGCTGTCTATGTCTCCTCCTCTCCCTTCAGGGCACAACAGAAAATAATTCTATTTCCTGCATCCATATAAGCCCTCAGCAAAAGGCTGCTGAATGAATAAGCAAACACAGCTTTACGAATTCATTTTAGAGCCAACAACAAAACCTAAATGTTAACTCATATTCTGATGAAAAAACACACAGAACCTTCATATGAAAAATTAAAATTAAAAATAAAATCAGAGTTCAGATGGTTAAAGACAAAACTAGAAGAGGGATGGTAAAAATGGGGTATAAAGAAGTAGGATTTTTTTTAAATTCTTATTTACTGATTTGAGAGAGACACTCTATTTGTTGTTCCACTTATTTATGCATTGATTTGCAAGAGAGAAACATCCATTTGCTGTTCCACTTATTTGTACAGTCACAGATCAAATCTGAAACTCTGGTGTACAGATATCAAATTTATAATAATCAAAATATAGTCAATTATATGCAAAGACAGAATCACCAAATCTTTTCTATTTATCCTATTTCTTTTCTGGACTAAATTTTTAAAAGTTTTCCAAGCAGAATTGACATTAGTAGTTTTTTACATTCCTGAGTCCCCTCTCCTGGTATAGCAGAAGTAGTTATCCAAAAATTAGTTGCAGTACAAACGAATACACTTTCATTAAATATACACTTCAACACTTCACACTTTCAGCTTAAAGATAGCTGCATTAACTTTAGACTTTAAAAATAAGGGAAGTCGTTAGTGAAAAAAAATTATGTATGTTAACAAAAAATACATTCACAAAAATGACTTAGTAAAACAGAACCTAATTTGAGGTTTCTTTATCATTTCATACACTAAATGTGAAGGTGGTCCCTCAAATTTCATTTTTGCTTTCTCTTTCCTTGCTACATCTCCTTAGGCAACCATGTCTGAAAAACATGATATGGCTGAGATTGAGAAATTCGGTAAGTTGAAATTGAAGAAGACAGAAAAACAAGATAAAAATCCACTGCCTTCAAAAGAAACGATTGCGTAGGAGAAACAAGCAGGCGAATTGTAATGAGGAACACACCGCCAATAAGCACTGTACATTCCACAAGCACTGCCTTCTTATTTACTTTTACTAGCTGTTTAATCTTGTAAGATGCAAGGAGGTTGGATCAGGTTATCAGAGAAATACTGACAACAAAGCAGCACCTACCTATCCCATCTGCCTGTCTGGCTGACAAGGAAGGAAAAGAACTTGCATGTTGGTGAAGGAAGAAGCTAGGAGGAAGGACAATTAAATCTAGAGTAAAAACCAAGCTGGTCCAGCCCTGGCTGGTGTGGCTCAGTTGGTTGAGTATTGTCCTGAGCACCAAAAGGCACCAGTTCAATTCCCAGTAAAGGCACATGACCAGGTTGCAGGCTGGATACCTGGTTGGGTGCCTGAGGAAGGCAGCCCATTGATGTTTCTCCCTCTCCCTTCCTCTCTCTCTAAAAATCAATAAAAATATATTTTAAAAAAACAAGCTGGTAGAAGGTGTCCTACAGGCTGTAAAACGTAGTTTAATTAGACTGTTGTTGTTAAATTGATTTTAATTATTGGAATGCACGTTTTAATATGCCGGAGGGAAGCCTGCGTCCCAGGTGCCAGAGGGAAGCCAGTGCCGGCAGCTGGGGTAAGGCCTAATCTTGCATGAATTTCGTGCATCGGGCCTCTAGTGTGTGGACAGACAGACACATAGATATAGACTAGAGGCCTGGTGCATGAAAATTCATGCACTGGAGGGGGGGTCCCTCAGCCCAGCCTGTCCCCCCTCACAGTCTGGGAGCCCTCAGGGGCGGAAGGTGACCCAGTGATCAGGGAAGGCGACGCCCCATCACACCTCTGCTGCTGCCACTGGCGGCAGCGCAAGCCTCAGCCAGCCCTTGTTACCTGAGCCTCGGGAAGCCCTGGGCAGCTGGGCAGCTGCCATACGAGGCTTGCCTGTGCCTCTGGCCAGCCCTGGGCAGCTGGAGGGCTGAGAGGACTAGGGGTCTCCAGAGGCAGGCACATCGAGCGGCAGGCCCGGCCTTGCCACACACGTGCTGCCCCAGCAGGGCTGAGAGAACTGGATGCCACCATCTTGTGGTTATGGGCGCCGCGATATTTGAGGGCATGGTAGTCAATTAGCATATTCCCTTATTGGCTGTGGATGCCGCCATCTTTGAAGGCAGGACACTCAATTAGCATATTCCCTCCTTACTGGGCGTGGGTGCCACCCTCTTTGCGATGGTGCAAGGGTCAATTAGCATATTCCCTCTTTATTAGATAGTATATATATGATAAAACTATCAAGAAAAGCAAGGATATTATCACAAAAGACAGAACAGTGGTTACTTCTAAGAGAAATAAATGGTTGTACTCAAAGAGGGATACACTGAAAGTACCTCTGGGGCACCAGCAATATTTTCTTTCTTGACTCAGATAGTAGTTACACAGGTGTTGGCTTATAATTATTCTTTAAAATGCATATATTTTATGCTCTCATCAATCTTTCACAATTAAAAAAATCTAGATAAACCTAACTTTTAATACTATTTAATAATAATATGTAAATACTGCTGCAGATATTATTCTGAACAGGAGCTCACATATTTCATCTAAAATAGTGTCAGCTTAACAGTGCACAGCAAACCTACCTGTTAAAGGTAAAAAGAACAGCGAAGTCATTAGGAATGCAGATGAAAAAGGAGGAAATCTCAAGGTTCCAATGCTTCTCAAATTTTAACGTGAATCTCATTAAACTACACCTTCAGATTCATTAAGCCTGCAGTAGGACCTTTCTGCATTCTAAACTTGGTGATGCCAGTTCGTGGACTCTTAAGTACCAAGTTCTTAAGTAATCATTAAAATGCAGCTGGTGTTTACACTAGATGATAAAAGGAAAGGGAATCAATAGGTATTGAGGGTATGTGCCAGGTGCATTAACTCATTTAATCCTACCTCAACTCTATCAGGGACATATTATGAATTATATTTTACAGATGAGAATAATGGGGCTCAGATAAATTAATTTGCCTATGATTACATAGCTTTGTAAAAAGAAGAGGAACCAGAACATGAACCCAATTCTATGACTCCATTTTTAAAAAAGAGATAGCATAAATTAGTCATTGAAATGAATTTAAAATCATCAGCAAAATAACTGTAACATGCTCCATTACATGGTATCTTGCATACAGACTATCACCTTCCCCCATTAGCTCATTCTTCAAAATGTCATTCCCTTTACTGTGATTCCCCTGCTATGATGCTTGTCATTGTTATCCACATTTGAAGTATTTTAGCAAAAGACCTATCTAAAATCTAACTTCCTGACTCCAATCTCTTGCCCCATCAATATTTTTGAAGGCTCTAGGAATGTGAGAAATGAGAAGCATGATGAAAATGGTGTTTCAGGAAGTAGAATTCAAAGTACTCTGCAATTCCACAATTGGGATTTCAAATTGCTGTTTGCATATGGAGCAAGCTTCCACACTGACACACAAAAATATCCCACAAAGGCCTTAGGCAGGTAGCTCAGTTGGTTGGAACATTGTCCCAATATGCCAAGGTTGTGGGTTCAATCCCTGGTTAGAGCACATGCAAGAAACAACGATTGCATAAGTAAGTGGAACAACAAATCAATATTTTTCTCTGTCGCTCTCTCCCGCAAATCAATAAAAACAACAACACTGCCCTAGTTGGTTTGGCTAAGTGGATAGAGCACCAGCCTGTGGACTAAAGGGTCCAGGTTCAATTCCAGTCAAAGGCAGGTACCTTGGTTGCAGATTCCCCAGACCTGGTTGGGGTTCATGCAGAAGGCAACCAATCCATGAGTCTCTCTCACAGCGATGTTTCTCTCTGTCTCTCCCTCTCCCTTCCAATATCTCTAAAAATCAATGGAAAAACATCCTCGGGTGAGGATTAACTAACACATACACACACACACAAGACAGCACTTATGTATTCTGTAGGATAATGCAAATAAATGTACAGAACTAAAAATCAAGATTTTCAGTTTATCTCTTTTCCACTGCCAACCCGCCACCATCATGGGTCGCATGCACACTCCCGGGAAGGGCCTGTCCCAATCGGCTCTGCCCTACCACCGCAGCATCCCCACCTGGCTGAAATTGCCGTCTGACAACGTGAAGAAGCAGATCTACAAACTGGCCAAGAAGGGCCTGACTCCCACACAAATCGGTGTGATCCTGAGAGAGTCGCATGGCGTTGTACAAGTACGGTTTGTGACAGGCAGTAAGATCCTGAGAATTCTTAAGTCTAAAGGACCTGCTCCTGATCTTCCTGAGAATCTCAACTATTTAATTAAGTTCGAAAGCATCTTGAGAGGAACAGAAAGGATAAGGATGCTAAATTCCGTCTGATTCTGATCGAGACCCGTATTCACAGGTTGGCTTAATACTATAAGACCAAACGAGTCCTGCCCCCCAATTGGAAATGAGTCATCCACAGCTTCTGTGCTGGTTGCATAAAATATCTATGTACTCAAGCAATAGAAGCATTGTTTAACTAAAAAAAAAGATTTTCAGTTTACATTAAGAGAGAAACAAATAGCCGAAACCAGTTTGGCTCAGTGGACAGAGCATCGGCCTGCGGACTGAAGGGTCCCAGGTTCAATTCGGGTCATGGGCATGTATCTGGGTTGCGGGCACATCCCTGGTGGGAGATGTGCAGGAGGCAGCTGATCGATGTTTTTCTCTCATCAATGTTTCTAACTCTCTATCTCTCTCCCTTCCTCTCTGTAGGAAATCAATAAAATATATTTTAAAAAAAGAGAGAGAGACAAATATAAATCTAAAGGGAAAAAAAGCAGAAAAAAAATGACATGGAAATAAATTTACTTGAAACAAAAACAAAAACAAAAAGCCCTGCAATATGTTCAAAGTAAACTGGAAATATCAAGCCTGGCCAGTGTGGCTCAGTGTTTGAGCATCAACCCATGAATCAAGAGGTCACTGTTTTGAATCCCGGTCAGGGCACATGTCTGGATTGCAGGCCTGATCCCCAGTAGGGGGCATAGAGGAGGCAGCTGGTAGATGTTTTACTCTCATCGATGTTTCTACCTTCTCCCTCTCTAAAAATCAATAAACATTTTAAATTGGAAATATCAATATGAAGTTCTGATTTCTAAAAAACATCTTTTCTAGCTCTGCCCACTGAAAGGATCTAGAAATAATAAAGACCTAGCAGCAATGAGCTTGGTTTCTAATGGAATTCCCTATAAAAAACAACTTGGTCTTCCTAAGAAAATGACTGATTTCAGGTCAAGGATGGGGGGAGTACTAGGTGAATCTGAGATGTCTTGTTGTGACAGGAAACAACCCAAAGAGCAATGGGGGCAAGTCAAAAGGACACACCCGCTTAAAGAAGAGACTTATACTGTCCAAAGGTCAGTGTCAAAAAGACTACTGGCTGTAACTAAGTGTAAAAGACTAATGGCTGTAACTAAGTGTAAGGGGAACCTTTACAATGCAAAGATCTAGCACTTTCACGTTAACCAAGTCATCAAATTATAGTAGAAAAATCTGACATGAACAGTGTCACAAAAGATTGATAATATGAATATAATTAAGCCTTTAGTCTTGTCTTAAAAGGGGATAAGGGATAGAGTTAAATAACACAGGAAACATTGAGACAAATCATGAATCAAAAAAGTCTACCAGAAAACCAGACTGGTCTCTTCAAAAAGTCAATGTCATTGCCCTAGCCCAGGGGTGGGCAAACTTTTTGACTCGAGGGCCACAATGGGTTCTTAAACTGGACCGGAGGGCCGGATTTAGACTGAAGGGTCCCTGTTTCAATTCTGGTCAAGGGCACATGCCTGGGTTGCAGGCTCAATCTCCAGTAGGGGTTGTGCAGAAGCCAGCCAATCAATGATTCTCTCTCATCATTGATGTTTCTATCTCTCTCCCTCTCCTTTCCTCTCTGAAATTAATAAAAATATATTTAAAAAATAAATAAATAAAAACAAATAACAGCAGAATGCAATTTGGAAATCCCCACTGGATCCTGG